TATGAGATTGATTTGTATTTAGTTTTCTATTAAAACTCTTTTTAATCTTTTCTTGTATATATCCAATTGTTGTAAATCAAGTATCATAAATAAAAATTCATTAAATAGAAAATTTAATTATAAATTCATGTATCATAATAGTATCTCCGAACTCTAAAAAAAACTTTTTTCTCTCTCTTGCCAGTGATCAAATATGAAATGATCATGACAAGAATCAACGACCCCTCTGAACTCACATCTCGATCTGATGGACTTACTTCCATCAAACATCTCGAATCGAAAGTGACACAAATTTCAATCACTAGCTACAAGTTAAACGAAAACAACTATATTCAATGGTTTCAATTGATCAAGATATTTATTTGCGGAAGAGGAAGAGAAGAATACCTCTTCGAAGAAGTTACCCAAACGACTGCCCAAGACCTAAAGTTTCAAACTTGGAAAGTGAGAATAATTTGGTCATGACGTGGCTGATTAACTCATGAAGAATGATATCAATGAGAATATTTTGTTGTACGGATCATACTCGAGTAAAGAAAACACATTAGAAATTTTACTGTTGAATTTAGCCTCCATGACCTCCAACAAGGATATTGCATCCGTCCATCATATTTACATAATCAACAGCTGCTTGCACATCATTTGCAGGTTCAACTTCCAACTGTTAAGTTTGACTACCTAAACCATATAGGTTGAAGAGGCTAACTCTAAGGATAATGTAAATACACACAAGTTAAACATATAACAGGTATGTACTACCAATTCAATAACTTATGTTTTTCCTAAAATAGGTTCGGGCAACTGAATGATCTTCTTCCTCCAGTTACCTAGTCTTAAGCTATAATAGGTACTTAAATTTAAAGTGATAGCATATTTTACAGTTATTTCTTGAAACAAGTAGTTATTAAAGCATAGGATTGCATAATTGGGGGAAAAAGACCATTAAGTGGTCCAAACTATTTTAGGAAAAATGTAAGCTGTTGAACGGGGAGTACATATCTGTTATATGTTTAACTTGTGCGGATTTACAGTATATTTAGAGTTGGATTGTTTTATATAGCTTCTCTTCAATCTATATGGTTTAAGTAGTCAAATTTCATTGCTAGAGGTTGACCCCGTAAATGATGTTCAAGTAGTTGTTGATTATGTAAATATTACGGATGGATCCAAGTGGGTGGATTTGTTTGTGCATGAGATTAAAAATGCAACAGATATTGATGATGCCAAGGGATGAGATGTGATGATGTTTCTAGTTAAGGCACACCAATGAACACTTCGACCTACCCGTTGAAATATGAGGGATGGTTTTAGCAATCTCTGTCTTTTGATACTTCGGGATTATCTTCTATAGTGTCGTGGAGGTTCTCCCCAGTACTTTGAACAAAGTCACTACCATTCTTCATCAAATGCTCTTCTGAGGGTCATCAAGTATGTTGATTCTCCTCTAATATTCTCCTTTTTCTCTTTAAAAGCTTAGAACTTTCCTCCCTCATTGTCTCCCGTAGCTACCTACAGGATATGCTCCTGCCCCACCATACTCCGCACCCAAAATCCCTTCCCTTTCTTCCAACAAATCTCCTTTAATGCCTCAAAATAGCCGCTCCACCTCCTCACCCCATAAATTGATTGTTGAACAAAACCCTCTTCCATTCTCACTCACCTGCAAACCTTCACCTTTCCGTCCTAGAATGACAATGTCAAATGATTTTCTTTCAATCACCCTGAACCTCCTGGTAGGAGAAGGCATCATGGTCTTCTTGAAATCACTCCGCTTGTTGAAGGCAAAATTGAGTGATGCTCAAGCTTTTTCTCTCTAGGATTTTGTGATTTGTCTTAATAAATAATGAGAAAATATAAATAAATTATTATTATTTTTATTTCATTTTAACGGGAATTGCTCTACATAAGGCTTGAACCCGGATCATCTCTATGGAGGTGACTGACACTAACCATCCAACCAAACATAGATAGTTTGGTTGAGAAAAGTCCACTTGGTATGCACACAATCGAGGGAAGAAAAGGAGGAAAAATAGCTCTATATGGGAACCTTTCGTTATTTGCTTATTGTCATGCACGTTACTATGTGCATGGATAATCAAATGATACCTCTATCAACTCTTCAGAGGCAATGTAATTATTTATACCATTATTTATGAAGTACTCTAGGGGTTTGGGGACTAAGTTCACTCTAGGGTTTTGGACACTAAGTTCTTGCAGTATGAAGTGGCTTTGGAGACTTGGAGTGAGTTGTTTGCCCTTTTTGTATATAGAATTGGGTTTGCCCACCTAAATCTTTTTTCTCTCCTGTTTGAGGGGTTCGGTGGAGAATAAAGAGTATAAAGTGCTCCAATAGAGTTTTATATGTATATTAGGGAAATCAAAATGGAAGTAAGTCCTTATGATTCAACCAAGGGCCATCTAATTTATCGACTCCACAATAAGGAATCAAATGATTAGATGGTTTTTTTAACATTTTTTTCATGCAGATACAGTTCAAGGTTCAAAAACTTCAAGAAACTTATTTTTGGCAATAAGGAAATTCAGAATTAAGTTAAGAAATACCAACTATGGAAATCAGAGCTTCTGTTCATAAAATTTGTGAAAAGTGTCGACTACCTTGTGGGGGGGTACAAATTATAGTAATTTGTTCCACCTCGAGACATAAACAAATGAGAAGGATAATTTTTCTAAAACTAAAGGGACTTCCATAAAAGAACCAATGAACAAATAAAAAAGAATCTGTTTTGACATGAAATGGATATATCCATATATCTCTGACATATCTTTATGAAATGATAAAATATGGCAAAGCCTATACCAAGAGTTGGTTCGCGTAAGAATGTACACAATGGTTCTCGTAAAAATGCACGTAGAATACCAAAGGAAGTTATTCATGTTCAAGCAAGTTTCAACAATACCATTGTAATTGTTATAATTGTACGAGGTCAGGTGATTTCTTGGTCCTTCGTCGGTACTTGTGGATTCCGAGGTACAAGAAGAGGGACGCATTTTGCTGGTCAAACCACAACAGGAAATGCTATTCGAGCAGTAGTGGATCAAGGTATGCAACAAGCCGAAATTATGATAAAAGGCCCTGGGCTCGGAAGAGATGTGACATTACGAGCTATTCATAGAAGTGGTATACTATTAAGTTTTGTACGGGATATAACCCCTATACCACATAATGGTTGTAGATATTCTAAAAAAGACGTGTGTAGAAATAGAAATAAAGACTTAAAAGATTTCAAGAGAAATAAATGATTCAATGATCTGATCAAATAGTACTATTATGGTTTGAGAGAAAGTAAAAGAATATACTCGGACATTACAGTGGAAGTGTGTTTAAATCAAGAATAGACAGTAAATGTCTTTATTATGGACGTTTTATTCTGTCTTCAATTATGAAAGGTCAAGCCGACACAATAGGAATTGCGATGCGAAGAGCTCTACTTGGAGAAATATAAGGAACATGTATTACGCGTGCAAAATATGAGAAAATACCACATGAATATTCTATCATAGTAGACTACTGCAAAGGCTACATAATTAGAAATGGAGAGCAAATTGAAGAAATGACCTTAAATTTTTGTGTACTGATTCCTAATCGAATTGTTTGGGATTCAGAAGTCAAAGAAATCATTTTATCTATTAATAGTAGACAAATTGGCGTACGACCAAATCACACACCTATCACCACCACTGTAGGTATTTTGAGAGTACGTCATAATGACTAATGGTTAACGGTAGCTCTAATGGGTGGTTTTGCTACAATAGGTAATAATGAAATCACTATTTTAGTAAATGATGCCGAGAAGAGCAGTGATATAGATCCACAAAAAGCTTAGCAAACTCTTGAAATAATAGAAGCTAACCTGAGGAAAGCTGAAGGCAAGAGAGAGACAATTGATTCAAATCTAGCTCTCAGACGAGTTCGGACATGAGTCGAGGCTATAAATGCGATTTCATAACTAGGTGCCAAATAATAAAAAAATCTGTTGGTTCGAATGTATATACAAAGAATTTCTTTCTATAAACTTCTTATTATTAGATAATGTCCATAAATTTCATAATAGATATCCGAAGATTCATAATGAACTTTGATGGGAGCTTCTCTTGAAGCAATAATGTGTTGATGTAATTGCCAATGAAGCTGCAAAGGACTATCTAAATTGATTTTTTTCTGCTGATAAGCTCCAATTGCATCATAGGAATTATCAAAAAAAGGCTCTTTCGTATATGTATAGTTATTATCGTCAATTTTTTCATTTGGATAGTTATTTCAATTATATGGATTATACTTATTTGCACAAATATCTCAACAAGTTCCGCTCGTTAATATATAAAGTCTTATAAGCATATCTTGTGTTGGTGCATAAATGGGATCCCCAATAGCTGGAGAGAAGAGATTCATATGAGAAAACATAAGTAAACGAGCCACTGCCTGAGCCTCTAAAGATAAAGGCACATGAACAGCCATTTGATCCCCATTAAAGTCTGCACAATCCCTTACCAACTAATAGATGTAAACAAATAGCACATCCTTCCACTAAAATGGGTTGGAATACCTGGCTCTGTGAAGAGGTACTTGTTGCTGGCTGCTGGGTTTCGTGGCTGGAATCAAATCTTTTAATGAGTGTGTTAATCTTCCACATGTTATTTCGGATAGATGACTTATTTGGCCCTCATGTGGGCTAAGGCACTTGTTCTTTTGGGGTTTGCCTTTGCCTATTATCCGAAGGAGTTGGGAGGCTTTGTTGGTTTTTCTTATGATTAAAAAAGTACTGTTATGACCGGGGGTAAAAGTTGCATCTTTTTTGCTTTTCTTTTCTTTCTTCTTTTTGTTTCTTTTTTGTGAGGATACCTTATTATTTTTCGTATTCTCTTTCCATCTTAATAATATATTTTTCTTTTTCTATCAGAAATACATTTATTCTCTGTTTTTCTCATTAGAGCCTCTTGTCTGTAACTTGTAGTGTACTGGTGCTTTACGTGACTTGGGCTTTCTTCATTTTATTTTAGGCTACCCAAAGGAGTAATGGCACAGTATTGGCAACCACAAATATTACTGATATACCTCCTGACTTGGTAAGCCCAAGTGCAGTTGAATTGGTACTTGACATCCGAAGTGAATATGCAAAAAAGCTCGAGCAGGTAACTTCAATGCTTTGGTTAAGTAAGGAATATGATGATACTGATTACATTTTTTGAAAATGGGGGAACGTAAGGACACCAGCCAAAGGGATTGAAACTGTCCCTTTATGACATATAAGAAAATCCAACATTCTGTTTCCTAAAAATAATCAGGAGAAGCAAATTTCGCCAGCACACTAATCAATGGTTTGATTCAGTCATTGCTGCGAAACAAAGAGAAATCAGTTGAGAAAAATAATCATGTTTCTATCCTCCAAGGCACCTACATGAAAATTATGATCTGATGCTTCTTTTTGGCTTCTTAGTTTTACCTATTTGTGTAATGGGTCTCAGAAGTCATGAGAAATATTTTAACTATGTGGAAGATCTGCTTTCATATGTTTGTATCAAAAGTAGATTAGGCAAATTTATCCTTCTGGTATAGAAATAACCGTTTTGGTCTTGTCAATGGATGATTGAAATTCTCCATTGAATTTTCTCAAAAAAAAAAAAAAAGAAAGAAATTGTCCATTTGGTGATGACTTTTGGACCTGTATTCCATCAGCCTGTTAATATGAACATTAACGCAAGATTTAATGTAATTGGAATCTGATGGAACAAACTGTACCATGTTTCACATTTAGGATATCTGTTGAATAATAACTGTATTTTTAAAGTATATGAACCAAATATTTAGTAGGTGTATTCATGTTTGCTTCTGTACATGTGCAGTGTCTAAAGTTTCTACTTATTTTATATAATAGATTACTGGATTTTGTACCTTGTAGACATTAAGATCAAGAAACTCCTAACTTTTGCTCATGTTTAGCCAACCATTCATATACTTCCCTTTCATTCCTCTCATTTGTATTAGACCTCTCAAACTCGATATTTTATAATTTGCAGTCCCAAGAACGGGCCAGAAAGCTTCGAGCAGAGCTTGCTGTTGAGGAACGCCGTGAGCTAGAGCTTAGTAGAATCCTCAAGGAAGTTCTTCCTCATCCAAAGATCTCTAATTTGCAGAAGCCTCGACCACAACGAAAAGTAGGCATTTTTTCACCCAATTCTCTTGTGCTCTTACAGTTCTAAGCATGTGAATCATGATTAGTTGTGGGTTCTATTTCTAAGTGGTCTAAATGGTCCAAGTACAAATTCATATTTCGATATTTGTATGTAATTCAGTTCTTTGACTCGTTATTCATTTGTTTGTGTAGGTTCTTAACTGTATAACCAAGGACACATGTTCTCTCTCTCAAAAAAAAAAAAAAAAAAGAAAAACAAAAAGAAAAGAAAAGAAAAGAAAACCCATGGTGGTTCACTTTTTGACATTTATTAAGATTCTTTCAATTTTTTTACCATTGGGTATCATTTTTTATTGTGATCTTCAAAGGACTCTCACAAGTCTCCAAATACTTTATATTTACAAAATGCTTTTTAAAATGATCAACTTATAGGAGCTCTCTAATCCTAAACCTTGAAGGACTTACTTCACTGAAATTGAAATTATAACTTCTATAGAATCAATTTAAACTTCTCTACTTGACCAGTGACGGTAGACATATTTCATCCTTTGCTTTGTAAGTAGATGCTTTTATTTTGTTTGTTTGTTTATTCTCTTATTAAATTGACTTTTACTAAAATGTGATAGCAGTCTAGCATTGAAAGAAGAAAGGTGTCCAAGAAACTAAACGAAGAAGCCATGGCTTATTTTGATGAATGTGTATCACTATCAACTTTTGATAGTTCTGACTTCTCATCCCAAGAAGACCCATCACAGAATTTTGTTCAAGTTGGTGATAATATGCCTTTACCTCATTCCAGTTCGAGCATCTCAACAGCCGGTTGTTCAGGTCCTTGTCTTCATGATAATCAGGTACACATCTAATATGATGTTTATCAATCTTCTTTTTGCTTTCCCCCCCTTGTTTTCCTCAAACTTTATGATGGGAAAGGGTCTGTAACAGTCCACTGAATGATATAAAACAATATCATGTAAAGTTGGATGATGTTTGTGGAATAAGGGCATGAATTTT